TTTTCCCGTGATAAACCAACACCAGCAGTGAACAGGACCGATAAGAGAAACACAGCAGAGGTGTGTTTAATTGGCGATTGATCCGATCTCTTGCAGAACTGCAGTAAAAATTAAATGTGTCATGTGATGTTGGCCAATAACGCAGGTTCAGCACCGCACCTGGGTGAGCTCGATGGCGGTTTACAGTCTGCAGTGTTACTAATGTGGAGATTTAAACTCACTTACTCATCTGTTCTTTCACAGTTAACCGACCTGTAACAAAGGCTCTTAAAGCTTCTTTTTTTCATGTATCACCTCACATTTAAAACCAAATTCTTGTTTAGTAAATCTTGGTTCAAACATAGAAAGCAGCTGGAATATCTGAAAAAGAGACTCATCATTTGTTCGCCTTAAATTGTACGTATAAAGTGTGTGCTGGTGAAAAATAATGTTGTATTAGCATGTGAAATTGGGTTACATCTTTTAAATTATTTATGCTTTGCGTCTTTAAGTTATTAATGATTTAAGAATAGTTCATCATTTCGGGAAAATACAGTTATTTGCTTTCTGGTGGAGAGTTAGATGAGAAGATTGATACATTAAATATGAAGCTACAGCCAGAAATTAGCATAGCTTAGCATAACGAGTAGAAGCAGCTGGACTCTGCGACGATGCAACTGTAAAACTAAATGATTAACATCCTATTTTGTCTGTTCTGTCTCTATTTTGTTTCATAAATAAACAGGCTAACTGTTTCCCCCATTTCCCCTCCTGCTAAGCTAACCAGCTGCTAGTTGTAGCTTTATTTAAAGCTGTAATCTGTAACATTTCCTCATTAACATAATAAACAGTGATATAAACTCTGGGGGGCTCAATAAAAACAATAGTATAGTATAGTAGTTGAGTATTCCAATTCCAAAATAATTATTCCAATTAGGTTTCCACACAATGGTTCAATACTCAGTATCAATTTAATGATAATTCCAAAAGGCTAACGCTAGCGTTTAACCAGGTTCCCTTGAACTGAACCCATTAAAAGCGATCCGTGTGCTAACATTGGGGAGGAGGATCTATGGATGACAGAAATAATAAGATATAAACTATTCATAAGGTTATGTATTAACATTAATATAACAAATGTAATAATCACAAAACTGAACTAATAAGAAATATGTTGAATGGTATTTATGCTTCCTAATAGAAATAGAAGGAACGATAATTAATATCTAACAGAGACAGCGGCGTCCTTTAATCTTGCTGGAGTCCGCCATTGTTGAACCGCCGTGGTCTTCTACAAACAAAACGAACTGGCTGTAGATAACGACAACACTTATATGTTGTTTTTGACAAAAAGTTTCAAAGGACCAACTGGTTGTATACTCTACAACAACAATATATTTAGTTAGGTATGCATCTGCAACTATCACAACCAAGATATACACCTAACAATTCCCAAAAACACACATGGACCTTTAACGCATTCTCTAAGAGAATAAACGTCTGGTTGGATATTCACGTACAGTGAGGTCACTCACTAAAATTAGACAAGATTCAAATGTATAATGAAGTATAAAATATAAAAGAAATATAAATATTTGATTTTCAACTTGATCTGATACCAATGACAGGGTGAGGCACTAAGTGAAGCCCCATATGCCGCTTGCCGAATGCGCCTCTTGTGCGCTGCACCCATCAAGGCCCCCATCCGCATGGCAATCATGCGGGAGAGGAGTCCTGGGAGCTGCGACGCTCTGCTACTTCAAAGTACAGGTCACATGGAACCATCAGGCACCAAGAACCCACTCTGCAGATAAAAAACATTGAAAGAATCTCGCATCATTGAACACGACACAACCAGGCCCAGTGTTTCCCAAACTTTTTATTCAATATCAACTGAATAAAACTGGATGACCTACTAGACACTAATTTTATATTGGAATATTTTAAATCATTATATATTAATCTATTAACAAATAACAGAACAACCTGAGATGAAACCCAAACAACGTGAAAATGTAATAGTAAAGATAATATTTGTTCCTGTGAAAATATTGAACAGAAGGTCAGTTAATCATTCATGTATTGTAAAAATTATCACAAGTTGATATTTAATTTCTCCCTAGAATGTCTAGAATATACAATAATTGCGACCTACTAAACATTTCTAAAAGCAGGACAGAGTTATATTTCAGAAGTAAAAAATATTATTTATATTTACTTTTCATATTTTAATAACAATTATAAAATTCCAAAAAAAGACCAATGTAATACAAATTATCTTAAATTTCCCCGCACAAGGAGATAGAATATTATCACATTACATATATTCTTAACGTCTTCTTAACACTCAATCTAAAAAAAAAAAAAGAAAGGTGCATGCCACAGCGAGCCCTAGTGGGGGATCTTAGATAGACCAGCTAAAACAAACAAAGGTTTAAGGATAACAGAAAAGGGGGAGAGCCAGGAAGATAGAGACAGAGAGAAGATGACAGACACAACAAAAACCCCCCCCCCCAACCCCCCCACACGAAACAAAAAAACCCCCCCCCCCCCCCACCCCCCCCCCCCCCCCCCAAAAAAAAACCCCCCCCATTGCAGAGAGGTAACAAACATAGCAAAGGGGCCAATAACAAGAGTGTTCCGGCATCAAAACCCAATAATGGATGCTGCAGCCTCGCCAGCACTAACATGAAGCTACCGAAGTAATCAATAAAAAACTGAAACTAATTCTGCGGGCGAAACAAGGCTTCAATGCACCATCATTGAACATATACAGAAGTAATGAAACAAACTCCATACATTTGGCCCCTTTCCAGTTCTAGCTTCAAGCTAGACTTTGGGATTCAACTTACTACACCAACCAGCACAGCATGGCATCAAGGTTCAGGTCGGTTTGGCTTACTATAAAACAACAAAAAGCAAATCTCTCCATTTCTTCTGGGATATCAGGAGGGGGCATAAACCAATAACGTAAACAAGGACGGAAGATAAGTTATGTGAATATGTAAACCGCTTCTAGAACAATGCACGGTGAAACACAAAGGTGATTGTGCTCTGTGAGTAGTAAATGGATTTTAAAATTCAATGAGTGGCATCAGATGGGAGAAGAATTCTTAATCGCGGGTCTGCCCTGACTGCCTGACTTGACATGACAGTTTATACACATGAATAACGTATAACGACATACAGACCAGCTAGCGGCATCACGAACCACAGCACTTCATACTTAGCTAGAACAAAAATCTCGGGGCCAGACTCGCAATGTCGGTGTGAGGAAACTGTTTAGACACAACTATTAGTTAGACTGAACAACAATATCCCTCTGCAGTCACAATGTTCCTTCCTCGCCCCTCCAATTCATTTCAGAGGCGGCACAATGGCCTCTACCAAACCTATTGAGAGGGGATCGGCCATGTGTTGTGTGTGTGTATGTGCTGATGTGTATGTGTCTTATTCAATATAAATGCTGCGTAAGTGTTCATCTCTAGCTTTACTCAGCATTCCTATACATTCCTCTCGTTGAAGAATATAACAAATGTGGGGTGGAAAGTGAACTGTAACATTTAAACTCATAGTACTTACTTAAATTTTCACAATTTTAGTAGGTATATTATAGATATAACTATTTCCACTTTTTTTCTACCTTCAGCCTTTTTTGCCTATCAAGCTTTCTCTAAACTGGCAGCTACCACGGTAACCAGATATAATTGGTCCGTTATACTGCAACTGATTTATTGGATGGATTACTTCCAGCACGACTCATTTGTTGAAATATATTAAGGCTGGCGTCGTATTGCCTCCTGAGCGATATCTACTCGACGTAGAGTTGTAGAACCATGGAATCATAAACTGCTCCCATCCTAAATCGTGAATGGACTGATGGACATGTCAAGGTTCTGCAGGTTCGATTCAACCCCAATCTGTACTGTATCCTTTTTAAATTGATCGCTATGACGCAGACAATTCATTTAGTATTGAGAATGCTTACCTCACTAACAGAGTCCATTTACGTAAGCGCGCATCGTCTATGTAGAGAACCCAAGGTCACCCATCGGGTATTGTGGATGAACCGGGTTTTGAAGCCTGAGGGATTTCGGAGCTTGATAGAGGGTTAGCGTCCAATGTCGGCACATACCTGATTAGACAGTTGCTCCGTGAGCCACCTGCGCAGGGGATTGGAACCCATTGTTGGAAAAACTTGGAACTAGAAAATGGAGAAAGATCAATACATGTAACATAGAACATTAGAGCAAGAGATTTGGGTGGAACGGTGTACTGCCGAGTTTAGCTGCCTCTCATTGGTTTGCGCAACAGTTTCGACT